TAATACCCCGTTTAAATAATTCTGATGAATTTTTCAAAAACTTACATGTTTAATATGGAAAACTACTCTTAAACACGTGCTCTAAACCTTTATAACGTATATTTTAATTAGTCACCAGGTAAATTTAAATAACTTCAAAATATTTTCAATCAACACAATTAAACTTCATCTAGTCACTAAAAGATTATTTTTTAATTTAAAATATTATAAAGAATTTATTTAAATTAATATCACTGAAATATTATCAAACGAATGAAATCAAACAATAACAGTTTTGGAGATTTAAATACTGAAACAGAGATCTGACACAAATAAGGGTGTGTTTGTGTGTATATGTGATATCGTTTTTATTTTGTTTAAACTCTCTGCAGTTTTCATACAATTTGTGCAGCTCTGACAAAGTTAAAACAACCACGCGGCAAATAATAATAACAACAAAATGCGAATACGTCATTTGCATGGCTGTGTGTGTGTCAACTAATCGCTGCCATACATTGCCATGTGCTTTTCAAACAAATTGTAATTGATATTTTTACCTGTAAACCAGAAGGCAATATGTTTATTTTAAATGTTTTGCATTCTCAGGAAAATAACATACGTATCTCAAAGATAAGAAAAACATTTGTTTTACCTACTATATCTGTGAATAAGTTCTTTCCGCAACTAATCTGGACACGTTGCAAAGTTAAATGTAAATTGCTGACATACTTAAGTGCTTAATAAGTAATTTTTTGTTCACTATGTATGGATGACGCTCTTTGCCGCCTATAAAACCCACATGTTGGATATGCACAACACAATAACTAATTTTATGAATATAATAATTTAGTGACACTTAATTAACAGTTTTTTGTAATTGTAAAAAATTCAAAATTGTAATTTATTTCTTTAGACTTTCCCACACACGGTATTTTAAACAAAACTTTCGAATTAATGTTTTCACGTGGACCGCTCGACGTTCACACTTGTCTACTATACTAATTTTGACATTTCGCTTTATTCTGTTTGCAAAATTGCACGTGGATGATACCTTTCTAAACATGAGATTTGGCAGCACCAACAAAATAAGTGTTGTAAGTGTGTCGTTTCCATACATTGAGGCTGTAGTATGCGTGGCTGAAAGTAAAAAGAACCCAGTGGGATACGAATACGGTCTGCCAAAAATGCCTGAAAGACATAAAAGCATATATTGCCCGATGGCGATTTCGAGTAAATTGAGGGCAGCAGTAAATGGTAAATTATGTCGAATTCGAATAGGGTAAATTAGATAAAAATTAGGCTTTACCATTGTGAAAATTTTATAAGATGTTTAATAAATAAATTTGAAAACTTTTAACCAAAAATAATAAATAAGTGCAATAAATAAATATTTACCTAAGTGCAGTGCAAAAAATCTCTAGGAAATTTCAATTTGCTTGAACTTGTACACGGCCATAAAGGCCCATCAATTATACATATACATGACAATTACTGAAAATGTAGCAAAGAAATAAAAATATGCGCTCTTAGTATGTTGTTGTTGTTATAGCCCGCTGGGACCTGCTTGTGAAGTCCCTTTAGGCGGTGTCAAACTGTACTTGGTCGTCTTTGGCGACAAGTGGCTCTGAGACGTAGACCCGACCGTTCTTGGAACCACACTCTTAACATTGTTGCTATTTATTATTTTATTTTCACAGTTTCTTTTTATTACACATTTTCTTAACTCTTAGTAGAAAAATAAAAATATTTTAGAAAATATTCTCATGCCATATATTACTGTTAAAATTAAATATATTTTGAAATGTATTTTATATATATTATATTTTTTATATATTATTTTATATATTATTAGTTTTTAAATAAAAAAAATTTTAAAATTATATAATAAAATTTTAAAAATTGTAAATAAAGTAAATTTATTTTAAAGAACTTTCATTAACCCTGTTGGTTTAATAGGTAAAATATGTTCAATGATATTTTGCTTCTATATATCGAAAATCGTGTTCAAGTAAGAATGTACTATATATATTCAATTTACGTCATTCACAATTATCTTCAAAGATAATAGTAGTTGTCTTTAAAGTCAATTGCGTCAATTGAAAATTGTCTATTATGTCAAATATTGAATATGTTCTTTTATATGAATTTTTTGAATATGTTTTTATTAAAAATAATTATTTAATAATAAATTTATATTTTTTTATTTAAAGGACCAAAAATTATTTTTCTTTGAATTCATCGTTCAAATAATAAATTTTTTATTTATAATTATATGATCATTTATATTAAACTTTTGTTAGAAATAAATATTAATCAAAATTAAAGATCGCGTAGAATTTCTATAATAAAATGATTCTATAATAAATTATTCGTAATAATTATAATAATAAATATCAACCATTATTTTTTGCTTTTTAATTACTAATTATTATTAGACGCTACAATGTTGATTAGAGTTGTTTTAAAACGACTTTAGTTAATATTGGCTCATTTGCTTATATCCATTATTGCTCTGATTTTTAAGATCTGTCAAATACAGTTGAGTATTTATAGAGAGGTCTCGGACAGTACTGAATTGTAACAACAAAGTTTTTATTTACTTTTAATTAAATAAATTTTTGGCGGATCATACAGTTGCTTCGACTATAGTGAAGTACCCATCATCGGTGGTCTTGGAATTATCTGTTATATGCATTTAGTTATTCGTAAATAATTTTTTAAGATTGCAGATACCAAGAATTAAGTTCGTACCCTGCAAAATTTGAAGTTTAGATCAACAACCTTACTAGATTTGTATGTTCGAACTTGGAGTTTAGTTAATTTGCTGTGAAAGTTCATTAAAAAATTCAATTGCTGTTTTATATTATAACAAAATTATAAACCACTTGTAGAATAATTGAATTAAGTAATTATCATTTTTTTTTAATTGTTAAATTTCAATACTAATTTTTTGTAGAGACATTAAATATTTATTAAAGAATATAGGTGGGTATTTAAATTTTGTATAAGAGAATCCTTGCAGTATTCTGTATGAACATTTTTTCATATACATAATGAAAAAAAACCATTTAATTAAATTTCTAACCTACCATTTTTTATTATAAATTTGTAGTTCTCACTATTTTAAGTATATAAAATATATGAGTTTTTAAATTAGAATATGTGATTTAAATTAGAAAAATTTTTAATTTTTAAGTGTTTTTAAATTAGAAAAAAATATGTGAAAATATGCTTTTTTAACAAATGAAGAATAAAGAAACAAATTTTATAATCATAAAATACTTCATTTAAATTAACAAATTTATAATATACAGTGGGTTAGAAAACGTTTTGCAACACTTATAAAAATACGAAGCAAGCTAAAGAAACCACCGAACACCAATGCCTTCTTTTATTATTAACTCCACCTTCACCCACTACTCGTTTTTGGTTCAATGGCCTTTTGTGAATGGTTTTTAAAAGGTTGAAAAGATTAAATATTAGGGGAACATTTATCTTCGTTACCCGGTTTTTTTTTTTTTTTGAAAAATAAACACATTTTTCTCCAAGCATAATTTTTATTCATTATATATATTTTAACATATGTACATGTTAAAAAAGTTACAAAAATTAAAAAAAAATTTTTATAGTTAAGAGTTATATTGTAAAAACATAAATTTTAAACCAATATTAATATAAATATATATACATATATATTTAAGTATATACATATATATATGTTTAAATACATTACTGATAAGTTAGTAATAAGTGAATCAGGTAAAAATTCTGCTGGAGTTAATAGGCCGCTAAAGTATGAAATATATTATAAATAGGAGCAAATGTAATCTCTAATGACGTTTAACTCTAGTCCATTCACCATCATCAGTATTTTTATTTTCTATAAAAAAAGAAAATAAAGGAATTAAATGATGCCATACGTAAATTCACATTCATATAATGAACAAGACTTACCTTTTTCTTGTTGTTGTTCCCTTCTTGCTGGAGGTCTTTCTTTTTCATTACGTCCAGACGACCGCCAGCTACTAGAATCTTTTGCTGTTCCTCCACCCAATCGTCGATTATCTCCACGTTCTGCGTTTCTTGGCGCTTCACGCCAATTGTCCATTTGATCTCGACGATCGTCTCGTCTATCCTCACGGCGATCATCTCCTCTACGATCATCACGACGATCATCTCCTCTACGATCCTCGCCTCTACGATCATCTCGACGTTCATCACGGCGATCATCCCTCCGGTCATCGCGACGATCATTTTGCCGTTCTTCGCGGCGGTCATCACCACGTCGATCATCACGACGATCATCGCGTCGTCCATCGCGACGAACATCGCGATCACCCAATCCACGTCGGAAGTCCCCACCACGTGGTCGTTCATCGTCACCACCAAATCGCCATTTGTCCGTATCCCGACCAGCAGGAGCTTGTCCCCTATTAGGAGCAGAATCAGGATCACGACGAGAACGCCAAGAATCACCACCAGTATCAGCTTCTTTACGTTCATTACGCTCAACGTTACGTTCAACGTTACGCTCGGTAGGTCGCTCACGTTCAGCATGTGCACCACCGCGACCTAGAAAATATCAACAAATTTTAATATATTAAAAATGAAAAAATTTAATTATTTAAAACGTACGCCAGTCGGAAGCACCTGTACCCCGTTCGGCACGCTCGCCATGTGGACGCCATACATCACGCTCTTTCTCACGATCACCTTCAGCAGCCATTTCGCGAGCCAACTTATCACGTTCCTCTTGAATCCTACGTTCAGCTTCTTCTTCTTTGGCACGTTGTTTTTCAAATTGTATACGACGTTTCT